TAGCGTTGCTCAACGTAGCCAAACTAGGAGCCTCAGCCTGAGAACACCCAGCAGGTTATACCATAGTGACACCCCAGTCCGCCTACCGTGAGCCAGCCATTGAGGATGCTGTCAAAGATGAGTACCATAGCATCCTTGCTGATATCAGGTATCCACTGCATAAAGAAGTGTCGAAGGAGCCGAGGCGTAACTGCGTTCCTCCCACCACCTGGTGGACCACATGCAGCTATGACTTGAGTATCCACCACGTTTTTCCAGAACAGCTTCCGCCTAGGAAACAGAGAGCTCCCTGATATCAATCTGGGTAAGGTCTCACCGGTCATAAAATCCCTTGTGATCAATGACTTGCCTCAGGAGCTCGATCGGCGGCTGAGCGCCATATACTTCCACGAGCGGCATATTGATATCATCAACGAAGACGACCATCCTACTGCCTGAAACAGGTGATGAATATAAATGCTTATTCGAAGATTCTGTACCGGCTGGTGGCCCTAGTAGATTCTTCCGTTTACGGTCTAGCCTTGTTTCGAATATATCGACAACATTTCCGCTGCTGGTCTGCGCTGAAAAGTTTGCTGTTGCCACTGTGAACCTGCCATAACCGTGTTTGATTGATGAAATGGTCCACAGTAGCTTCGAAGATTCCTCGACTTTCAGATGATCAGCTCAGATAACAGAAATCACACTAATGAGTTATATAGTCTTCACGCGGTGCAAAACGGTAGCGAAATCCAGAGTGAGCTCAACGGAAACAGAGACCTGATGCTGGCTATCCTTGTGAGCGACCCCCCCCAATCAGTATGCGCGGATTACCTCATCTCAGCGTCTGCCGCCTCGCCCTCCCGCACGAGCTTGTCCAGGAAGGCAGCGATCCCAACCGACTTGCCTACACCAGTCTCACCTATCAGCCATCTATTATTCGACCAGAGTGATACCAGCAAGTTTACCAGAGAAGAAAATATTTGTACCATTCCTCGTGAGCGCATCTAGTGTCATCAACTGGCTCGTGGACTCTGTAGTCGGCACCAATATGCTGAAGAACGGCATTCCCGGGGTGTACGTGAACGGCTCAACTCGATTTTCAATGTGCTCAAAGCAACCTGAAATACGCCGTCGACGGCGGACCCCATTACAAACCCATCTCCTCGAGCTAGTACCCTTCTCTGGATCCACCGCTACAGAGTATAAATCATCGAAATCCACCACGTCGGGACAGATGCTCTCGAAATGGGGTCTCATGAACTCCTAGGGAACCGGCGATGCCCCTCCCGACAATCGAGGCTGTATTACCAAGAACTCCCCTCGACTTGTTTCGTGCAGGTTACCACCGAGACTGCGGACAGCCGCCACGATCAAGTACATTCTCAACAACTTATCATTGGAGGCATCCGATCTCTTGGACGGCTTGATTGTCGGCTCCTCTTGTTCGGGCTCTAATGGCATCACCTACACCAATGTGTATCGACATATCACCTATCAGGATCACCACACTGATACTCACTCTTTCAAAGCCGTTACTGTCGTTCACGAAGGAATCGCACAAGTCCATGAACGACCTAACAGGTGGCCTTCATCAGCATCCATCGGCCGTGCATGAGCTCACTTGCATAGATTAGCATCGACACTAGGAATGCCCGGAGCCTCCTTCAAGTGAGAGCGTATGAAAGGCAACGTGACATCGCAGAGATCAATAACATGTCGATGCAGGTCTGCAGCATACTTTGGGTACGACTGCGAGCGTATCTGCATCACGATCGACTAAAAACCTCAGTAGCCGCTATCGAGAATACTTCCTTCCACGTATCAATAGGCGCTCTCCACCCCAAATGAACAGGTTCTATCAGAACCATACCACATCGTGAGACAGTAGCTGGCGAGGCTACAGCTAGGTCATTCACCTTAGAATGAAATTCCATGCAGCCTTGTTTGCTACCAAAGTAACAACGTACCTCGAACATCATCGTCATGGTCGGGGCGAGTTTTATCCTCTCCCCATTATTCAGGCAAAGCATCTTGTTGTCATCCAGCACCTGATCAACGGACTCTGCCTCGAGTACTGAACTGAGGTCGTTCATCCCACAGTGTTCATGTTTTCAATCCAAATAGCATCCACAGGTCCGTCAAACTGCACCCACTTTTTGTTATCGGAAGTATCACTCAAGGCCTCCCTCACCAGAATGGCCACCAACCCGTCCGACCATTCCCCTGAAAACTCACATCAATACTGCGATGAATGTCTCGAGTCCAATCACCAGTGTTCTCATTGAAGCTGCCGTACAGCTCCTCCATAGATATACTCTTCGGGTTCAAGGCCATAACCTTGGTCACTTGGTGAGCGGGGTCCGTCGAACCATCCAGACAAAGCTGTGACAACGCTCTGGAGAGGATCGTAGAGCACGTCGACTTGCCCGTCGCTGTAACTCCGACTACCATCACTCCTGCACCATAACGCTACCACACGAGACTTGCGCTCTTGAGCTCTTTACCATGGCGAACCAACTGCGTTTCCAGAAGCTGAATTATTTTCCCTACAAAACCCTCGACCACCTGCAGGTGTTCCTTTCGAAGCTGCGCCTCTATTTCTTTCTGCAAAGCCCCGTAATCCACGTAAGAACCTATGAACAGCAAAGTCCGTTTCGGTCTAGCATGCAAATCTAAATGCTACCTGTATCCCAGGGAAGAGATCGCTGATAATGCCCATGAAGAGCGGCAGATCAGCACTCACAAACTTCGGTACATGGAGTCCCGCATGGCCCGAATCAGCGTTACGTCCTCGTTAAGCTCAGGGTATCTTACAGTCACCAGTTCTACTCTCGATCGGGACCGAGAGGCAAATACTCACTTTCGCTTGAGTTGGCCCGCCATCACCAATACTGACTTCACTGCCCTCATACCAAAATCGTAGTGATCCTGTTTCGACAGCTGTTCGCTGGCCAGTCGGTAGAGTTGAACCTGAGGATGCCGCTATTCCCAAGAGCCGCCACAGAGCTATTCGAGCAATGTCATCTGCGCCGCGTTCTTGACGTACTCAAAACCTTTCGAGTGCGTCAAGAACGCGGCTTTCGAGTCAAAAGCCCCTACCATTTTCCTAGCGAGCATCGATCCCGCCTCGAAGCCCTCCGAGTAGAGGATGATTTCCGCGATTAGTGCGTAGTCGGGAACCATCATTGCCACTGGACGGAATAGTGACTTCAGATTGTCCGGCAGCTCGGTTCGACCTTGACAGCAGCCTCGTACAAGTTCACATCTGTACAAGGTACTAACCTGCATAGCCTGGATTCATGGTGATGAAGACGCCAAAACGTGGGTTCAGAGGGATCTCCCGTCCGGAGAATTCGAATACGGAGACCTTCGATCGAATGGCTTGAGTAATGGTCAACATCTGCTGGGCAATGACGGAGAGGACCTCAACCTGACAAGATCTATAAGATACCTCAACACTCGTGAAGGATACATACTTGAATGCGATTGAACTCATCGAAGCACGCCCATGCTCCTGCCTGAGCCAGGCCAGAGAAAAACCTTCCAAGACAGAAGACTGAATGCAACGACCAAGTGGAGACCACACCTTCCCATGATCTTGTAATCGAGACCGTCGCTGCAGTTGAAGACAACGCACTGAACAGCGAGAGCCTTGCCGAGGTCCTTCGTGGTCTCCGTCTTCCCTGTGCCTACCACCGAACACCAACTCTGACGCCGCATTCCATGTAGAGCTTCTATAATAGATAACTCTGGATAACCGTACCGAATGGAATGGCCCCTCTCCCAGACACAGTGACAACTATGCTCTCCCAATGAGAAATGCCGCAGCCGGAAACTCACCTGCAGGACCGGCCGGGGCCCCACCGTAGTTGAGATGCAAGGCGCCAGTTAAAGTCATGTAGCACTTGTCAGTCAAAGCTGTGATGACCAGTCTTGGACCGTTGCCCAGATACTCATAAGAGTACCTGAATGATATCACCTCAAAAACTGCTGTTCTATATACCGACTTGAAGGAAGATATCGTCTGTCGACACATGCAGTCGTCAACCTGAAGAACGGTTTCCTCAAAATCATGCGAGGTGGATGCCCACTAGTGGTTACATTAGTATCCCAATAGTATCGTAGCTGCTTAGACCAGTCGAAGTCATTGACGCCTCTACAGCCTGCTGCGAGGAGCTGCTCTATAACGGTGATGTTATGCACGTCCAGCACGATGAGAGCGCCCATCAGTATCCTCTGCAGCTTGTTCAGATCTTGTCGCACATACGCAACCTAATGTATGATCATTCGCCCCGATTCAGGCACTGGTATTCACATTACGGATTCCTGTAGCTGCTCTTGGTGATACTTGATGCACTCCGACAGAGGGTGCATCTCGTCCCCTTTCCGTTCCTCCCCATCCTGTTTAAGCGCCTGTAACTCGCGATCAGTCACCGCAATAAGTCACTCTTGTAGAATCTACCTTCTCACAGTTTGATGTCCAGCTAATCATATCCACCAGCAGGACACTCTGCGCTGGGTAGCCTGCAAACAACCACTCCCGCCTGTACCTAAAGTGACACAACCCTACGAGATGATCGCTGTCCACAGATGCCCCCCGAGTTACCTCCCGTCCTCGGGATACTCCAGTAGGCTCTTCTTGGTCAAATCATACAAACTCTGTACCATCTGATCGAGGATATAGTTCAGCCAAATTTCCACGGCTCCTTCGGCTCGGACAGGCGTGGAGTTGGGTACCTATAAGAGGGTGGATCCTAAACTAAACACAAGCAGACAAGTACTCGCTCTCCCGCAATGTCGGTGAAATGTGTTATCTCAGGCGGACTGCTCTTCTCTGGGTCGAATACCACACGGTTCATCGCGTCGAAGCATTTCGACAGATGCTCCTACACAAGGAAAGAATGCCTCCGAATTCGTGATTGCTATTGTGTCGACCTCACACATATACGGATGACCGAAATTCTACCATCGCATCAACGATATCATTCAATAGGATCATGGAGCTGGTGGCGTTGTAGCGCTACAGCATTTCTCAAAGCCGTAAAACAGCCGCGCACGAAAACTGATTCACGAGATGCGCGCAGCCTACCTGAACTGCATGCGGATTCCTAGTCTGGCTCAAAATCGACAAGAGTTCATCATTGGATAGGAAGTAGAACCTTGGGAAGAGAGCTCTCTTAGTCTCTAGATAGTCCTCCAGAGATTTCTGCACTTG